CCCACTACGCACGTAGGACCCATCAATCTTCATTTTGGGTCTGCTTGCCCAGCCCAACGGTGGAGACCTTGACCCAAAGTTAGGAGCTATAAATACCCTCTTACTTGAGAGAGTCAGTTATTCATTCTTTCATACTTGCTTGCACTGCTCTGAATCTTACTTTGACATCAGAGTATCTTGCAGGTACCCCTAACTCATTTCCAGTTACTGCTCAACTCATAATTCATAAGCTTTGACGATTTATTCTGATCAGGTACGATCAAATGACCAAGTGACTTTTTATTTTAATTTATTATTATTATTAACGTCACATTGAGATTTTATTTTATATTAATTTTTAGTTAATATAAAAAAACATGTTATAGTCTAAAAAAAAAAAATATAGAAGTAGGAATTGAACCCACATCCACTCCTTCACAGCTTCAACACCCTATCACTAGTCTAGCTGTTATATTGTAAATGTTTGGAATATTTCTTATAGTATGCACATGCAGTAAATAAAAAATGAACTTTAGCATATTTATTTAAATAATTGACAATGTTATAACATGCACTTAGTGCATATTTACTTAAATAATTGACAATGTCAAATAATTAATACATTTTTTTAAATTAGATTTATGTGTAAAAATTAAATCAATAATTAAAAGCTTAAATTTAAACTTTTTCTGAAAATCAATTTTAAAAGAAAAATGAATTATGCCCAAGAATAATTAAACATGTCAAAATCAATTATATATTTTTAAAATTAATTTTACTTTTTTTTAAACGTTAACTAAACATATGCATTTAAATATACATTTTTTGTTTTGAAATAAATATTTTTAAAAATTTTTATATACAAAATTAATATTTTTCACAATTATTATTATAAATAAATATCAAATATATTAATTATTTTTTCTCAGAATTTCATACAGCGAAATATTTGCTAAAAAATACATTGAAATTAATATATAAATAATCAACTATGTTACAATTATTAACTATTTTAATTAATATTCAATATTTAGTTAAATATAAACTATAACTATATACGACATTAAAATATTTAATTACAGTCATTAAAATACTAAAGTATTAAAATTATTAATTATATACTATAATTATTAACTAATTTGATTAAATACTGGAATATTTGTAATATAATAATAATATTAACTGATTTAATTAATAATTAATATTTAATTAAATATAAACTACAACTATATACTACATTGAAATATTTAATTATACTAATTAAAATACTGAAATTATTAACTATATACTATAATTATTAACTAATTTAATTAAATATTAAAATATTAATATTATTAACTAATTTGATTAAATACTAAAATGTTAATATTATTAACTAATTTGAAATTAATACACTAAAAGACTATAAAAATAATTAATACATTTTAAATGATATTAAAACAATTAAATACATTTACGTTAAAAGACAATACATCCCGTGTATTAGTAAGGTGTTAGAACGATATTGTGAAAGATGTAGGTTCAACTATCATCCCAAATATATTATTGTAGAGTTTCTTAATCTCACTAATCCCACCATATAAATTTGAGATTCGTAAATCAATATTTTGAAGTTGGATAATAACTCTATAAATTAATTAATAATTTATTTATTTTAGTATTAATGACTATATATTTTTAATGTGTGAAATTATAAACATAACTAGTAAAAAATCCGTGCTATCGCACGGATTCTGTTTGGATTCATATTACATATCTATTAAATCATTATTTGTAAAGTTTGTCTTGATTTATTCAGTTAGTTGACATTTACATTGTTACAACTTATAATAATTGATACGTATTTATAATAAATCGTACAACAGATTCTCTAACTTCAATTATATAAAATAGCATAAAAAGAAAATTTAAAAGATGAACATTAAAATAAATATTTTACAGGTTGTATCTCATAGATATGTTCACATGTACCCGTGCATCCATCTCTGCAAGGACCTTCATTATGAGGAACAATCTCCTGCTGTTAAATTGAGAAATAAAAATAAGTCTTAGATTAATATAAGAGAGAGTATTAAGTCTTTAATATTAATCCAATTTTGTTAAAAAAGTTCTTCAACTTAGTAATAAATGAATTATGTAGTGAATTAATATAAAACAATAATAAAGAGAGATTTAAAAAGATGAACATTAAAATGAATAGTCTACAACTCGTATCTCATAGACACGTTCACATCTACCCGTCTTGATATACATTACACGTCACATACTCTCATTTGTCAAGTTTTGATTCATTTTTTTAGTTGGTTAACATTCACATAGTTACAAACCTATAATCAACTGTAATTAGTCCATAATACCCTTAAGATTAAGTTAGGTAAACATGATTACATAAGAGTTTAACGGTGAATTCCAATGAATTTTATTTTAATAGATGGATATCAGATAGATAGATATTAGATTAAATAAAAAGATTAATTAAAAATTTAAAGAATAATTTGACTTTTTAAATATTAGTGAAAAATATTATCAATTTTTATTTTACCAATAAAAATTTAAATCATTAAACTAATATCTGGATATTAGCTCTATGTTTAAACTAACATTTGAACCATTAAACTAATATCTGAATATTAAATTTATTTCTTTCTTGATTCATCTCAGAATTGAAGATCCAAATAGAAAATAAGTCCAAACTATAATAAAAAAATAATACTAAAGTCATATCAAATATAAGTGTGCTCTTTATTTAGTGCTATAGTAACCCATGCTAATGTGGATTTTGATTATTGATACCAGTGACTACTCTTTTTTATTTTGATTTACTTAGTATTATCTTCTAAATTTTAAAATATAAAATTGACAAATAATAAATAAAATAGAAATAAATATAATAAGATCTTTGTTTAAGCAAGATGAAATATGATATAAAAAGCTGTCAACATCCCTATTAAAGCATAATAAGATGAAAGACTATATTAGATAAATTATGACTACTTAATTTATGTAACAAACAAACATGAAGTTAGACTAAAAACTTCTTATATAGTGTAAAAAATATGTATACATTCATATTTGAGCTAACTTCTTACTATTTCTTATAAATAGGAAAAAATTTAATGATGATAATACAACGCCAACATTGTAATAAGTTTAAATATTCATATTACATACACATGAATTTAGCACACATAGCAAATTATATTCATGAAGTTACCATACATAATACATATTTTTACAAAGGACTTTATTAATTATACAGAAGACTGCTATTTAGAAGTTGATGATAATATCAAGTTCTTGACACAAACGATTAATGACTTGATAACATGAAATAAATGTTTTACTATGATATTTAATCAAAATAACATAAAAATCATATAACATGACTATAAACTATAATTGTCATTAATACTTAATTAATACAAATCTTGATAAAACACCTCAAGAGTATGATAAAATAATTGTTTGGGCAACTTCTTACGCAAAAGGATCATACATATAATCTTTTATAATAGGACAATCTCTGTTTAGAAAAAGAGTAAAGGTGGTTTATATATTTATATTAGATTTTAGAGGAATTTTAAAAAAAGGTTAAACATATTTAAAGATTTAAGGGATAATTGAATTATAAATATTTTTTTACATATCAATTAAATTAAAAATATAAAATAATAATAAAAATAAAAGTAACTTTAATATATACTTTTTCTGTACATACAAGAAAAAAAAAAGATTTACAAATATAAACCAAAGCAACACAATTTTTACAAACACAATTTAAAACCCTAACAAAAAAAAAAACTCAACCTTGCTCGTTCAGAATCCAATTTGATTGCACTCAACTCTGAAGACTTGATCGTCCTCCGCCACAAACTGTGAGAAAATCTTCCAACTTTTTTCTGTTCTTATTTACATTTCTTCAGATTTTGGTTCTTTTCTTCTTCAGCGCGTAAAACTGCGATTCCAGCGCCATTTTTGTGTCCCCGGCCACTGCAAATTGCAACACATCGCATAATTGCGTTTTAGCAATGCGATTGGCATTACAGCATGTTTATTATACTAGTTTATCATTCACTATTCACTTGTTTCTTTGTTTTTGCTTGTTAGTGTTGTTTTGAGTTCCAATCTATGGGTCTCTTATCTTGATTTTATTCAATTTTACTCAATTCGTATCTTTTGCTTTGTGAAATTACTCTTAGAATTCAGGCTTAGGGCAAGGGTATGTGTTTGGGTTGGCGGTATTAAGTGAAATAGTGTAGTTACATTTTCAAAAAGGAATGTTAAGCATTAAACCATTTTATATTATTCCACTTATATCGCCAATTCAAACATAGTCTAAATCTATCCCGCGAAATTGGTTTATAAGGCGCGGACTTTCTAAGGTAATATCTGTAGGCGATGTGAGACTAAACCCGCCCGAAAACCAGCACAATAACAGCGCTGTATCGCATCAATGGAAGCATAATGTGGTTCAATAATGGACCACGACGGTGGCCCCTATTAAATTGGATTTCCCAATAACTGTTTCTGGCATGTCTTGATTATCAATAAGTGTCTTTTTATTACCAGTTGATATTTGACTGCCTTTCGTTCTGAGTCCTAGACCTTGCTTGTGTGTTTTAATGAGATTCCATCGAGGATATCAAGCTTCTTTGCATTACGTTTTAAAAAATGCGCGTCGCTGTGTAATCTATCTAATTCCTGATAGAAGACCATTTTTTACGATGCTTGAATGTTTGTTGTACTCCGGGGTTTGGTGTCTTTTTCTGCCCAATTCACGAGTTTTTTGAATTTAAAAAGTTGATGAATTGTTCACTTGAATATTTATCCTAAGATATGGTGTGTCCAGTTCGCATTATATTAATTTCTAGAATTTAAAATTGGGATTTCAAGTTGGTCTATCTTCTACTTTGTAATTTTTTTTGACAAGTTCTACTCTCTAAATTATCTCTTGTCAGGCCATCCAACTCAACATGTAATCTTATATGTTTGTTTGTCGTATTAAGTCACTTTTACCAGAAATGGAGGGAATAACTGAACATGAAGTGATAGATGTTGATAGTGCTTCTGGTGGTTCTGTAAATGACGATTCAGACAACGAGGGATCTTTACCTTCTGAAGTTGATGACGAACTTCAGCTTGAGGTCAGTCACATATATATGTTTCCTCTCATTTTTCTCTAAACTTTTTGATGACAAAATTTGGTATGCTCATGTAGAAACCTGGCTGTTTGTGTTTACTTTTCTGTTGTAAAACTTAAGGTGTCTTATTTTCCATATTTTATTCACATCATGCAGGAACCTCTAACTGAGGCAGAAATAGAAGACCTTATTTCTGAGCTTTTAGAAGTGGAGAGTAAGGTATTACAGCTCATTACATCATATAGGACCATGCAATGTTACTAGATGGACACTTCACACAAATGCACACTTTTTAAGCCTTTCTCTATCTTTTTCTTGGGTAGTATTCTGTATGCTAAGTTGTGTGTTGGCTTAATGTTCAAGTATAATTGATTACAATTTCTTTCCCATTTTTCAATAAATGCCGCTTTGCAGTCATCTTTTATAGTCACAATTTTGTTGTTTGGATTTATAACATATTAGTTTGTAGAATTGGAAATGAATTCATGGATTTATAAGTTCCTGTTTACTAAGTGTTTTCTCTTTTCATTTTCATAAAATACACTTAAAATCTGTTTTCATTTTTTAAGTGTATTTTATGAAAATAAAAACAGAAAACACTTAAGTTAACATGGCCTAAGATTTCAAAGACCCAATTGAGTTTTAGCAAGCATTGCAAAGGAATGCTAGCAACACACTTTTTTTATTGGTTAAAACTTAAACATATCAACGTATTAAAACTATATCATCCATAGCTATCCTCTCGATTACATTCCTTCTTAAGGAAGTACGACTGAAATTAATAACTCATTTTCATTTTGAGGGTCATATACACCTTGAAGTGGAGCTAAAAATTAATGATATTTAAAAATCTGACAATCCATTAGGAAACATTTACCCTATTGAATATTGCATAATATGTACAAAATGCTTATAAAAACAATGATAAAATAATTTGAAGTAATTTATACAATTTTATCACCTATAGTAATAACTATATATATAACAAAATAAATTAATATAAAAAATAAAACATTTTTTATTATTTAATTTGAAAAGATGAACATTAACTTCGATAAGTTAATTCTATCATTCACTTTTAAAAAGTGAAAAAAACTGTTTTGTTTCTTTGAAAATAAAAAACTGTTTTGATTTTTTGAGATTGAACATGTAAAACTGTTCATGGAAAATTGACAATCACGGGCAAAGATTGGGGAAGTGTATGATCCATGATTCCCTGGTTTACCTTTCATGTCGCCGTGGACCTTTGGAGCGACTGAGACCCGCAGTAGTGTAACATAGATAGATGGTCAGCATCGTGATTCCCCAGTTTATGAGCGATCCTGACAACATTGGTCATAATAATTGAAATATGTGAAATCAGTTATACAAATTATAGGAAATAAAAATATACAAATAAAAGGAAATAATGAAAAATTCCTCTATAATACAATACTTCCCTTTCCATCATTTCCAATTCACAAAAGACATTGCAATTGCTCTTTGTAAAGTTTCTTTTGGTGAGTACATCTTCAAATTAAAACCTTAAACAAATTTACTGCCTAGCTTTATTTAGATCATTATGCAATTTCTTATTCACGAAGTGTCGATCTATCTTTATATGCTTCACCGTATCAAGTCAAACATGGTTGTGTGCAATGCTAATGGTCGGTGAAGTTGCTACTTGCTAGCAGAAGAGAGCTAATAAAATAGTGGGGGTAATGTAACAGTATTGTCTAGCTTAAAATGAACAACCTAGGGCTTTCAAACAAGCGATAAAACAAATCAGAAATGGTGCCAATCAATTCCTAAAAAAGATCAGGGAGTACTGGTGACTGTACTTTGGTGGTTGTGTCACATATAAAGGCTGAGATGGTGGTGTGTGGAGTCCGTGTTCCAGAGAGGAATTCTGCAACTGGAGATGCATGGGAGCTTTAACAGTGGTAAGTCTTTATGGGCTGACGACCCGAGAGAGGTGTTCTTCTTGATGACTGCTAGTCATGTTCGCGGCGGCAAATGCTTGGACACTTCTAATTGCTACCCCAATTGAAGACAACCCAATGTGTATGTTGTGAAGGTTGCTAGGGTTTTGATGTAGAAGTAGAGTCCTCCAAGTTGGGAGTTTTGATATCAACTTGAAAAGAGAAAAGAGGGAATTTACTAAATATAGCATCTGATGCCATCTTGTGCACAATAACACAAACAAAACTTATAAGTCTGGCACCTATATCGTCAATTATCGGCTATAGAGCGTTGCAGAGTTTAAACAAATTGCCACTGTTCCACAATATGCTAGTTTGATAGCCAGCTATAGCGGCGCCATATCATCTGCAGCACAACAGAATTCTAACAATTTTGTAATCCGCAATCGACAGCATGGTTGGGCACTTGAGTCATATTAATTGGTATTATTAAGGAAAGAGAATATGTACTAAAACCTTAAAAACAGGAAATCGCTTGGACAAATAGGAAATAAATCTATAATATATAAATCTATGCAAATATATGGAAATAATGGAAGATCTCCCTGCAACACGACAAATATATTTATGCCTATATTATTTGGCTGTTCTTATTTGTACATTGGTGCCAGAGTTCTTGGGGTTTGATAGGCTACGTTTGGCTCTGTTTGCAACTGTTTTACTGCGTTTATCTGTCTCAACTGAGCACAACAGCTTTAGGAGTGGTTTTATTAGAATATTAACAGAAATGTTACAAAATATTAGCATTCTTGTCAATATATATATTGTCAGTTATATTTTCTGTTGATTAGATTAGAATACTTAATTATTGATTATTAGGATGTAGGTTATTGACAGAGAGGTTCAAATATGCCAATTTTATTTTTGTTTTAGTTATAATTTTTATTTATCCAAGACGATAACAGGATGACAACCCTAAGTCTACTGTATCAATTATCAGCTTTATATAGCTGACTTTATTTAACCCACATCTATTTCTTATCCTACAGTAAATGTAACTAACTCAGAGCTAGTGATTGATAATGATACTGCTATAGAATTGGTAGGAGAAAGAACAAATCTGTGATTACAATGCGAAATAGCAGAAAAGGTATACACAGATACAGAAGGAAAACCATCAGAGAGAGTAACGCAGTGCCTGCTTAACCCAAAATAGACCCCAATAATGACCCATACTGACCACCTTCCATTCTTTTCAAGTTCAGGCCCCCCTTCAACCTTCATGATTACTGTATCATATCATTCTTTCCAATTACTAGCTGCCACTTGTCTTGTTTGTTAGAGCCATGCATAACAGACTCTTGCACACCATTTTCCTAGTTGTCTGGTAGGGACCCAAGAATTGAATTGAAGAGGGTGAACAATCGTATTAAGAAAGTAGGAAAGAATAGGAGAGAAACCTCTCCTCAAAGGGTTTCCCCTTCACAATAGTCACTTATCTATTCTCAGTTGTTACAATATCAATAATGCCCTCTCCAATTCCTTATACTCCCTGTTTATACATGATAAACCTAACTACCCCATTAACTAACAGCCATAACTAACTCCTTAGCTCAAATCCTAACAAACTCCCTTTATTCTAAGTCCTAACATTTCCCTTATAACTCCTCTCCCTTCTACGGTAGACATACCTAAGAGGCGAATGGATTTGAGGCCCCTCAGTTAGTTACAGTTGTACAGTCAGCTTAACACACCTAATACTATTCTCACGCAAAATTGGTCAACCTAATAGGGATTTTCCCTCACTCCACCTTTTGAGGCCTTTGAAATGACTTAAAACTGTTCCAGTATGTCATCCAAATTTTCACAAACTCCCAAGAGTTTACACCGAAATATCTAGCAACTTGTTTTCCAGAAAATCGAGAAAATCTAGTAGTTAGAAAGTATAAGAATAAACTAATAAATGCATATCAGAATAGCATTTTACTTAAATATTTGCAGTGTTTTTTGTGGTATGTAACTCTATAATTAATCATATATGTTTTTTTTTTTTGAATATTTATCAAGAGGTCCAACAAAGATTCTCCAATGTTTTTTTAGGCTGCGGAGGCCCAAGAAACTCTTGAAGAAGAATCTCTTGCTAAAGTGGAGAGTGAAGTTAGACAAGAGTTGAAGCAAACTCTACAAGGGGATGATGTTGGTTTCTCTCTGTCCTCAGCTTTATCATCTTTCAGTTTTTTTGCTTATGACTCACTTGTCCTTACTTGTCTTTAAGCTGGAAACTGCTGTTGCTGATGAGATGGCTACTTTTAAAGACGAGTGGGAAGCTGTTCTGGATGACCTTGAAACTGAAAGTTCCCACTTACTGGTTTGGTTCTATATTCAACTTCAATTTAAGTGTTATGATTTATACAGTTTTCTTCAAAAGTGGACTGTTTCTTTTGTTGTTGCACACTTTTTTTTTTGTTTCGAAACAACCAATGTTAATATTGTTAGTATTATAGTGCGGATCAAATGCTCAAACTCCTTACCACTCTTCTCCTTAACTCCCCTGCTCCAGCCATCACACCAACGCTATATTATATCCCCTTTTCTGCTTTACACGTTGTTATCAGTCTTTGGAAATTGGCCTCATCTGCCCTGAGCTGCTTCTTATGCTACTGATTTGGGTTTTGTCATCCACTTCTTGTTGGATATAATACTTTAAAAACGTATTAGTCTTTGAAAGTAAGCACACACCGAACTTAATTAAAGCATGCGACTAAATTAACTGAGTACCAAAATCACCGGGAAAAGCTTTAGCAGTGATCTTAAACCCGCCAGATCAACCTTTTATTTGATTTAGGAGGTAGCAGCATTCTAAAAGTGTACACGTGCTTGTAATTTGAGCATCTACACCTTTGTAATTTTGGATATAAATACTATGCTTAAAATAGATTGTGCTACGATTTGGAGGGTTCAGCTGTGTGCTACAATTTGGAAACTTTAGTTGCTTAGAGTAATTAGTGAATTTGTGCTCACCCTGTTCTTTATGCTGGCGCTTTATGCTTTTTGTGTTTTGTGAGAATATAAATGTTTTCTTCCGTGCTCTACAAGCTAGCTTACCTTGCATCAGTTAGTTAGAAAGCTCTTCCAGCTGATATTGGTTGTTATAGACTTCCCTAGAGTTAGTTCAGTTAGTGTAGGATACTTTAATCTAAGTGAACGATAAGCCTTGTATAAATTCTGTATTCTGAGATTACAATTCTCTCTAATTTTCCATTTTCTATTATGTGTTGTTGAACGAGATTAAATGAAATGCTGCATGTTGAAATTCTTTCATCACCATAATATTTATTGTTATTTAGCCTTTGATCACAGCAGAGTTTTGCTTCATTGTGGAATATTAGTCCCAGATTCAGAAATAATCTGTCCATTCACGTGGTTAAGGCGGCATGCAGCATTTGACCACCCTCCAGATACACAGTGGTCGGAATCTTGTGCAACTATCCTACCTTTATATGTTTGTGTATTTTAGAATCACACTAGAGCCTAATGTCGCTAGGTGTTGGCATTTTTGTTTGATTGATAAAAATTGCGGTTTTCTTTAGATGATAAGTTCTTCCTTTGTTGAAATGTGATTATATTTTTTATTCTGCTATTCGTTGATATGATTTTGAATAGGAACAACTTGACGGGGCTGGAATTGAGCTCCCAAGCCTTTATAAGTTGATTGAAAGAGACGCTCCAAATGTCTGTCGCACCGAAGCATGGAAAAAGCGGAACCATTGGGTTGGGTCTCAGGCAACTACAGAAATTGCCACATCAGTTTCTGACGCTGAGAAATATCTACAAATAAACAGACCTGTTAGAAGGTACGGTTCTTATTTGGCGTTTGATCTGGCAAAAATCAATGTAAACTCATAAAGTTGTGCTGTTGGTTCAGGCGACATGGAAAATTATTGGAAGAGGGTGCTAGCGGCTTTCTCCAAAAAAAAATTTCTCCGGAAACGCAGGAACCTGGAAAAAAAGAAACTGAGGGAGACTGGGATGTGTTCAATAAAATAGTTTCTGATGGGAGTGGTATTGGTGCTTCATTTGGTAGTAAGACTTGGGCTTCTGTTTACTTGGCCAGTACTCCACAGCAAGCTGCCTTAATGGGACTTGAATTTCCTGGAGTTCATGAGGTAGCAATTTATTTTTGACCGTTTACTGTTTTTCTATTGGATGTATATGTCAAAGAACTTAAAGGTAGCGAATGAAGGACTAATTACTGGAGCTAGTTGATGTTACTAGTTTGTTCTGTCAATACATTTTTAATTTCCAGTTTTGTTCACATTTTAATGCATTTTGGCAGCCATTTGTTATAACATGTTCTCTCAAGCCTCAATTGTTAAATGATCACTATCTTAGTTGCTTTTTTTTTTGGAAACTTTTTTGTTTAGGTGGAGGAAATCGACGATGTCGATGGCAATTCTACAGATCCATTTGTTGCAGCAGCTGTTGCAAATGAAAGAGAACTAGAACTTTCTGAAGAGCAAAATCGACATTTTAAAAAGGTCTATTCTTATTGCATTATTGGTTATCTATTGAGAACTAAATTGCAATGTTGGTCCTTGTAAATATACCAAACTGTCCTTGATTATGATGCAGTGTAAAATTTAATCTTTAAATTTTATTATGCAAAATTATTTCGTGGTACTCTTTGCTTTTAATTTTCCGTTTTTATGCATTGCATGAAGTGATTTTGTAATTTTCAGTTTTTATGCTAAATTTAATAATTAACCAATTATTAAATATTAAATGCCATGCACTTACAAGATCAAACATAGTACCTGTCAATTGTTGGTTATTGTCGTTTCTAAAACTGATAATTCTTTAAGATATATTGTTTGGCAGCCTTGTTAGTGTTAATAAACTAATAATTCTTCATCCCGTGCAGTCTTTATGTTTGAATGACAAATGTTAATAGTTAGATTAGTATTATTTGTTCTCCTTTGTGATTTGTTAAGAAATGTGGTTGAGCCTAACTCAACCCTACAAACCCGGCTTGAAGAGTGAGGATTGCCCCCACTTATAAGGACATGTTCAAGCCATATATTGTCCGATGTGGGACTCTTAATATGATTAACCCTGGACCTCCAACTCCTTTTACCCTTGGCTCAACTAGCTTAAACCGGTTGAGCTACCCTTCCCCCCATTCATTGTGTGCAGTCTGTCGGGCCTATATTGACGGGAACCAAAAAAGTGGAATATCTGATATCAGTTTTTGCTGTTTCTGTTGTTATAGTGCTTATTAGGTACAGAAGGAGGAAAGTGAATACCCAGAATAATAAAACTATATTGATGAACTAATTAACTAGATTTCAATTCATAGTTAAACAACTGAATCCTGATCATGCTTTAATTAACTTCAGCTGGAAATTGGACTGTACTATATGCCGCAAGTCTCACAATATACATACGTATCTTGTCCTTATTTTACAAATTTGTTAAAATTATCGGTTGTTAGGAACCGAAATAGATTGGAATGAAGGAAAGATAAAATGAATCAAAAGACTAGAAATGTATTGGAAAATTAACAGAAAATAGACAATAGAATTCTCCCCAAGGGTTTCCCTTCACATAAGATCTCTCATTTCATTCACAATTCAAATACACACAACGTTCCCCTCCATCTATTGTTCCCCTCCATCTCTCCTCACCATATTGAATTATGTCCTTTTATTAACCAATATCCTTGTCTAATTATCCCTTCTCTCTAATCCCTACTATCCTACTACTCTATTTGTCCCTAATTTCTTTTTTCCATCTATCATTTCTCAACAATACCCTAAGAATACCACCCCCATAAATCAACCTTATCCTCACGGTGCGATCTAAAAGATGGTACATAGGGTACCCTTCTGTCTTCAACCATGTTTTTCCCATTTTAATCTACATTGCTACATGAACACTAAGTTAATGGGTGCATATATTCATTGAATATTATTGGCCCGGGTTTGGTCCGTTATTTCCTAAACATTGCTTGGCTGGAAGAGCTTTCCATTTACTCTTTCTTCATTATTCTCATTACCAAGACTTATTTGGGCTGGGTCCATTAGGTCATACACTAGACCCGTGTGGAATGCCGTTCTTTTGCTCCCTCTTTCTCCTTCTTTATATTGCCCATCAGGTCAACCACCACAAGATGTATGTTTCTGGTGGTGGCTTTGTTGGTGACAACCTTGTGGATTAGCATCCTATGGTTTTGACGTTCAGTGCATTGTTCTATGCATAACTGAAATCTCCTTTGCTGTCGTTCGGAGTTCCCAATCTGGCCAGACGTAACCAACTTCACCAAGTAGGGAAATATTTTTCACGTGATTGAAGATTACCTGTTTGGAATGAATTAATTTATTTGTTTACGTACTTGTATGGTTCAACTATCCGAATTCAATGCAAGTATTTATGGCACATTTTTTTGTGAGGTTTCCAAATTCTTCCGCTCTTTGTTTTTATTCTTTATCAATAGTGTTCTATATAAAAGCCACCATTCTTATAATTACTTCAGGTGCTCCTTATGTTCGCCAATCTGTCTTTATGGTGCAAGCACAACACTATAAAATTATCATAATTTGTTTCAGTTACCTTATCCTCTTAATTGTCAAGTTGGCTTTGATTTTTGACATTTGTACTTGTGTGTTTTATATTGAGAGGTTTTGAAAGCCACAGATCCAGAGATCTAACAAATGGGGGTCATGATTTTTTAAATAATAAATATTATGAAAACTATCATAATCTTTTTGACAAAAATTTAAAAGTTTAATTAAATAATTTATGATAGTGTGTATATATACATAATAGTTAAATAATATACTAATTCATATATAATATAATATTATAATTGCAACTGTATAGTATATGGTCTGTGTGTACTTGTATATATGTTAATCGGGGTAGGTGGGTTGGATCCAGCTGCTCCGCATTCTATCCGTCCATGCATTGTGGTCAAAACAAGAAAAACTTGTTTTGGTAAAAAACAACTGTGTCGGGAAGCATACGTGTTTCATTGCATTTAATTTTTTTAAAACCCAAACATGCTCTTGGCCTTTTGAATTATGAATTTGAACCAAAAACAATAACAAACAAAGCCTATTTCTCCTAGGTAAAATCAGCCACATGGATTAAATCACGCATAGCGTGAAGATATCTGGATAGTCAATAACCACACACTGATATTAGAAGTTGTATCCAACCGATGTATTATATACATCATGGAAAATAGAGGCATTCCTTGTTAATTTATGTTTTACATATCTGTATATTTTCAAATTCATGCTTGGGAAGCTTATCATATTTTCTTCTGCTTTTTCTATGACAGGTCAATGAAGAGGATGATGCAATTGTTGATAGGAAGCTTCAAATACGTTTGAAACATAGGAGGCATCAAAAGAAAAGTAAACTGGTGAGTTTTCGGACTTTGATTCTCCTTTTCCATTTGCTTGATCCATAAGCTCTAAGATAATACTCTATATGTCCTTAGCGTAGGATGTTGTCATTTGTAGTTTTATTTACATCTCATGCAAATGAATATTTGGATGTTAAAAACAGCAATCAATAGTTTTATGTATAAAGCAAATAAAAGTTGTTCTTGATATTCATTATTTGGTGTTTTTGACATTCATTATTTGGTGTTCTTGATATTCATTATTTGGTGTCAGCGCCAAATTATAGGAATCCATTTAACTTCTTGACTGAGTCAATTTGGTTTATTTCTTTTTACATAAGCATATCCTGTAATCATGTTTAAATGTAATTCAGCGAGAAACAAGCACACCTATCCAGTCAATGGAGGGCAATGTACAGAAGCCTTCACCTGTCGATCAATTTAATCCTGATACGAAGGAAGGATCTCGAGTTGAAGGGGAAGTTGTGTATGACAATAACAAGGTTGAACATTTGAATATGGAGACTGATAAAATTAAAGGTTTTGATACCAGTTTTCATCTTGACAATGAAACGCCTACAAGAGATGATAATATGTCAGATCCTCCCAGATCTTCACTGGGTGATGTTATTGAACAGAGAGGAACCAAGCGTCCAAATGACGGTGAGCTTGATGCTGATAACAAGAAGTACCGGACTGATATCATCATCAGCGACGATGATATATCCGCTTCCAGTTCTGGCAGTAGTGATTCAGATAGTTCAGACGATTCAGATGATTCTGATTCAGATTCAGATTCAGAGATAGCGCCGGTTACAATAAGGTGAAGTAATTGTTATAGAAAATTTATTGCTGCACCCAATGTTAATCTTTTGATTCAAATTGCTATAGCTTAGATAAAATTCCTTCAACATTTTTGCATAGTCATCATGATCTACACCTCATCCTGATACTTTTCATATTGAGGTAGCATATGATCTTTTGAACTGCATTGATTTTCTCCAATGCCTAGCCTTCAATCTGATCTAATTCTATGATTTTTCTATTAAGTGCTTGTAAATTGTGATTCTTGACATTCTTATAGTTGATACGTAGCACTTAATGATACTGGCTGATTGACAGTGAGGCTTACATGTATACATTATTATTTCTTGGATCATTCTGTAACTTTCTCATATAAATGAAATCTTGCAAATAAGATCTTGAGGTTTACATGTTTTCTTGCTGTACTAATTTAAACTTGTTTTTGCATAGACTTTAACTCAAATCACCAATATTCTCCGTGGTTGAGTTGTATTCTTTATCACATCTTGTCATTTTTTTTCCAGCACTAAACGAAGACGCAAAAAAAAGATTAGGAGGATACTTGATGACACTGAATTAGGAGAAGAGACAAAAAAGAAAATAGCCATTGAAAAGGTAACATTTTCAATGAGGTATTTGTTTTGTCAAAACTGGATTTACCAGTCCAATTTGTTCATTACTCTCTACTTTTGTAGGAACGTCAAGAACGCCTGAAATCTTTGAGAGTACAGTTTTCTGCTTCATCATTTGACAAAAGCTCGGCTGGCTGTAATGGAAGTTCATCTGAAGGTGCAAGCGTTGAAATTCTTGGTGATGCACTGGCAGGTTATATAGTCAATGTTGTGAGAGAAATAGGTGAAGAAGCGGTTAGAATACCACCGAGCATTTCAGCTAAGCTAAAGACCCATCAGGTTATTTAACTTATAGACTGTTGCTTTTTCTCTTCCCTTTCTTGATATTTTTACCCTATGTTATGTAATTTTGTTAAGTGGCTATAGCGACACTATAACATAATTTAAACAAATCGCTATTGTTCCATGATACTGTATTTAGTACAAATTATTGTCAAATACTCAAATGGCGGCTATTCCTTTGATTAAAGAATGATATGATAAATGTTATAGATACAGCTGTCATGCCTAACTAGATGTATCTCTAACAGTAGTGGGAGCCTTCAGAATTGTAAATATTCTATCAGATATTTTTTACATGGAATTAAAGATATAAACTGATCTTAATGATAATAGTAAATATTCTATCAGATATTTTTTACATGGAATTAGCGTACATGATAAATAGGAAGATGCATAGGGGGAGCCTTCAGAATTGTAAATGTTCATTGAATGGAGCAGTGGCTCTATTCTCTCCTATTCTGTTCTTTCACTAAAATTTTGTCTGTTCTTTTCATTTCTTTCTATCAATTTTCCAATTCTTTTCCCGGGTTCTTAACAGTTTCATATCTGCAGATTGCTGGAATAAGATTCATGTGGGAAAATATAATACAGTCAATCAGAAAAGTTAAGTCAGGAGATAAAGGTCTAGGGTGTATTCTAGCTCATACCATGGGCCTTGGTAAAACATTTCAGGTATTGCACTCATTCTCGAGATTTTTATTTGTGCATATAATTGATTTCTGAATTCTTGTTTTTAGAAAATACACGTTGCAGATGTACGTCTATTTTGTGAAATTGGTGATAGTGTACAGCTCTTGCTCGAGCATGCATTTTCTTAATATTTTCTTCTCATTTCTTATTTTATTTTTTAAAAATTATCATACCAACCTTTTGTAACTCATGAATCATGATAATCTGCATTGAGCTATAGATTAAGTTGAACAAATATTATCCAACAATGCTACTTCTGTTCAGAATGTTGTAAACCAACTGAGCCGGAAAATCCCTATCCAGATCCGGCACCAAGAAAAGGACTACCAGAGAAAAATCACAAAATTGTATGATTTTAACGTATAGATTATGAACTCACAAGATTGTGGTTCTGCATATGACCTTACTCGCTCCAGGGGAGCAAGATCATAAAAGTGTGATTTCACGATTTGAATTGTGTTTTAATAACATATATCATATGATTCAAATCCCTATTATTCTGCGTTACCTTCCAGCTTTCGTCTTCAATTCACTGGTCTAGATGTCTCTTTTGAGGAGAGACATTGCCATCTGTCAGCAATTAGACTAGTGTACTTATTGATATGCCTTTTTCTTTTTCCTATCACGACTCCTATTAACTAAATGAAGAGTGTTTGGTGAGAAGTTGCATAGAATTTGAAGTTAATTGCAATTGGAGAAAAAAAGTATTTATAATTTAATATTTACCAATGGACCTGCTCTCTGAACCGGGGATTCCTTGGAGCTTTACTTCTAATGCTATATCATAGATGGACCGATTCCCAGTTTGGACATCTAGTTTTTGTACTATTCTTCAAGCCTCAATGTAGGAAAGAATACTCTACACTAATTAAGCATCTAAAGGATAACTAAAAAAATAGAGTTAAAATGAAAAATATCCTATTATAAATTTAAAGGCAAATGATTTTTTGTTCTAGTTCTGTGCATTTTTTATTGTTTAGGATACTTTTTCTTTCTGATTTTTACTTTTTACTGTTTGACGGTTTTGTTTTGATTACTGGTTGTGCTAAAACTTCTAGGTCATAGCTTTCTTGTATACGGCAATGAGAAGTGTTGATTTGGGTTTAAGAACTGCTCTTATAGTCACACCTGTCAATGTGCTACATAATTGGCGGATGGAGTTCATCAAATGGGCACCATCAGAATTAAAGCGACTCAAGGTCTTCATGCTGGAAGATGTATCAAGGTTTGTTTGTTATTTTGTTTTGATATGATTATGTGATCTTTAGGAGCTGTAACAATACACTAGCCAAACCAAGTTACAATATTTGGTTTGCCACTAGATATTACGGCACTTTGATTTATTGTAAATAATTATATAAAAGTAACATTTTTAACATGCATAAGGCCTGATTCATGTATTTTCTACATTTTATTACCTTGAATTTTTTCATCAACTACTCAGTTTCAAATTTTGATAGTTGTCGGAAAGATAGTTATATAGTCATACTAGTTATTAATTTCTGTGACTTAAATCTGTTGGAATGTTAGTTTGTTGGTCTATGAGGGGTCACTTCTCTATGACAATTTGATTAGCTTATGTTTTCTGATTCTGTTATAATCAACTGCAACAGTTTCCATTAATAGTATGTGACTTATTAAGAGCTCATTACTGAGTTCATCACTTTTTGACTGTTTAGTTATGGCTCTGTCTCTGACTGTTTAGTTATGGCTCTGTCTCTGACTGTTTCCCACCTGTTCCTTAATAACTGGGAGCAGTACATAGCTTGTCCAGAACTTGATCCCAATACTCAATACTGTTTTTGCTCTCGAGTAACCGGGTTCTCTGAAGTACTTTATCGGATTGAAATGGCGGTTTGCTGCACACTCAGGGAAAGTATGTTGGGGATTAGCTAACTGAGGTTGAACTGGGGGGAAACCGACGGTTTCTTAATTCTAATCCCTCAAGGTTGCAAACTCTTCAAGTGTATCATGGAGATTACATCGCAGATCCGTAGTTAGTAAACCTAGTGGCCCATTCAAATCTGTCCTTTGTTGGGATTAAATCTAGGTGAATTTTTTTTTAATTTTGTGTCCGTCTCTTGAAATTTTCAGGACCTGTCAGTAAACAAATTTAGTGAGATTGTTCTATTTGCACTCTAGTCCTGTATGAATAGACGTAACACATGTGTTTATTTCCTAAAAAATTCTGGATGACTTAAGGCCAGAGTGAGTGGATGGATATCTTGTTATAGCCAATTTCTGCCTCTATTGTTTGAGATTTTATATATATATATATATATATATATCTTGCTGATACAATTTTCTTTTCCCAGAGATAGGAGGGCACAATTGCTCTCAAAATGGAGAGCAAAAGGCGGTGTATTCTTAATTGGCTATACTGCTTTCCGGAATTTGTCTCTTGGAAAGAACGCGAAAGACCGTGAGACAGCTAGAGATATTTGTCATGCTTTGCAGGTAAAATGATTGAAGTAGTACATCTATTTGTGTAGTTAGATGATATTTCTTATCCTGTGATGCTATTTTTTTTTTCCTGTATGCCTTTATCATTCCTCTGCATCGTACTCTGTACCTAGGCTTCTTAGCAAACACAGGTACAATACATGTACCCTATCAAGATTCTGTCCTTGCTTATCAAATGGTATAACGACTACCTACAGAGATGCAAACCCAAAAAGGATGATTAAATAGTTGTAGAGTCCAGCCACTGATAGTGCTATGATAGGAACTTTGGTATTATGGGGTGCCTTCATACCATTTTATAAGCACCTAAGCGGTCAAGGAACCCTCCTTTAAAAGCTAGCTGGCAAAGAGGAAAAACCAATCCACTTGAGTTATTCACGAGTATCTCCTAATACTTGGATGCAGAATTTAGGCCCCTCATAATACTCCCAAGTCCCTATCACAATATTTCATTTTATTATAGAATCAATGGCCTAGAATCATGATGGCTGTGTCTGGTTTTTGATAAAGTGATTGCAAAAGTGAAACATTAATGGCAAGTAGCAAATGAATTTCCAGCAATAATACTGGTGGCACTCTCTTTCAGAAGGGGGGCTAGACCACAATGGGCAAGTTAGTCAGGTCTGGGGAAGATGTGGTGAGAAATAGTGGAAAAAAGCATCCACATGTCACAGGAAGGCTGCTGGAAATGAGCAACATAGGTAGAGTGTGTATGCCCATATAAACTTGAAGTTTAAAAGTCCTACAGATCTTTTGTTGTGGTTTGAATGGCGGGATTGGATTGCCAATCAAACATGGAAAGGGCAAGTGTATATGGCAACCATGGTAGAGAGACAAGCATACTTAAAAAATGAGAATGTGAGATAGTCACTGAACTAACTCAGTATGGAAATAGAGCCTTTCAAACATTATTTGTTGCTTATTTTGGAACTCAGAAGTAGAATATTGACTTCATTAAAACTGCTAAAACTTTTATCCTACTTTGTGTCATTTGTTATTTCATTTTTTAAAGCTTGTTTACATGTTACTGCAGGACGGACCAGACATTCTTGTGTGTGACGAAGCCCATATCATAAAAAATACTAAGGCTGAAGTTACTCATGCCTTGAAACAAGTAAAGTGCCAGAGAAGAATTGCACTTACAGGATCACCTCTTCAAAATAATCTCATGGAATATTATTGTGTAAGTTTGCATAAAAGTTAAATACAGAGATCATTAAGTTATTGCATACAATCTTTGACTCATCATCATTATTTCTGAAATAGATGGTTGATTTTGTCCGAGAAGGTTTTCTTGGAAGCAGCCATGAATTTAGAAATCGGTAAGGCTTTGGTTACTCTCCCTGTTCTGTTTTTTACTTTGGTTTATATTATATGTACTTTTGAACATATTCCCTTTGTGTGCAGCTTCCAAAATCCTATAGAGAATGGTCAACACACTAATTCCACTCTGACCGATGTAAAAATTATGAACCAAAGGTCTCACATCCTCTATGAAGAATTAAAAGGCTTTGTCCAAAGAATGGACATGAATGTTGTGAAGAAAGACCTACCACCCAAAACAGTTTTCGTGCTAACAGTCAAGCTTTCTCCCTTACAAAGAAAGTTGTACAAGAGATTCCTTGACGTGCACGGGTTCACTGATGTCAGGGAAAATCATGAAAAGTTAAGAAAGAGGAGTTTTTTTGCTGGGTACCAGGCATTGGCTCGGGTAAGTACAGCTTTGGAAAACTTGCTAAACAATTTCATTGTCTGAGAATTCAGTATATATAATGATTTGATGAGAAAAAAGAGGTGATTCCAAGTAGGAGCAATTTGATAAGAGTGAAAGAATACGAGTTAAAGAAGCTAGGGTAATAAGTTAGGGGAAAATTGTGAACAAATGATTTGGGTTAAGAATTGGATAAATATAAATGTTTGCATAGGTTAGCATTAGATTTATATATCAGGCTTAACTCATCCTTAAAAAACCGGCTTGTAACGTGATGGGTGCCACACTTTGTAAACTTTTCCAGACTTGTTATTGCTTCAATGTGAGAATTGGGTTTTTTCCCCAACACTCCCTCTCACATCACACCTTGGGCTTGATGTGGATAATTTGGTTGGTGGCCTGCATGGATATGGTTTCACCATGTTAGATTTTTATATTTGGTCTAACCCATTCTTACAAAACCGGTTTGTAAGGTGGGAGATGTCATTCTTGATATACTCTTTTCAAGTCTTTTTAATGCGGGACTTGGATTTTTCTCAATAGTTTTTTATGTGGAGTGAAAAGTTGTATTAAATATCATTTAATTAATGCAGATTTGATTTGGTTTAGCATTGTACTCGTCTTGGCCAAATATTTTATACCCTCTCACTTGTCTGTTGAGTTGTATTCTAGAACCTTCGGCCTTTGTAACTATCTGAACTACCTTCAGTTAGTTCCATTTATTTAGTTACTTTAGTTGGCTAATTATTGGGATTCTAGATATCTCTAGATTGATCCAGTTGTATTGTAATCAGTTAATCATTTAATTGTTAAATGCAATTCTATTTACTCTCAGCTATCAGATTTCTAACATTTGGCAAAATTGCCCAGTGATTTTTGTATTAGTTTTAGCATGTATTAGGTTTTTATGTTGAGCCTAACTCTTCCTTACATAACCTGCTTGTAATGTGAGGGGTGTTACTCTTTATAAACTCTTACTCAATGTGTATCCACCATTAGATGAAATATGGTCTGAACATATGTCTATAAGTGACGACAATTCTCACCTTGCAAGCCGATTTTGTAAGGTTGAGTAAGACTAACCCAAATTCTAACTTCTAAGTGATTTTTTATAAATGTATTAACTTAATGAATGGCTAGTGATTATTGTGTTTTTTAAAATTTTATTATGGCTGCTTCCTATCCTGACTTGGTGTATCTTGATGATAACGAAATTTATTGTTTGTAGTAGATATGGAACCACCCTGGGATCTTGCAATTGACAAAAGAAGACAAGGACTGTGTAAGACCTGAAGATGCTGTCGAGAATTTCCTTGTTGATGATATCTCAAGTGATGAAAATTCTGATTCTAATGTACTTGCTGGAGGTAGCTATATGTTCTGGTAGTTTTTAACAAATAAAACAACAAAAAATCTTGGTTGTCTGTTCGATGAAAGTTGTCAGCTGGCTATGAAACATGTTACTTTTTCTCTTATTACATAATAACCCATCGAGTATTGTTCAATATGAATATTATTTGTGATAATGAATATACAAGCACTATTTTCTTTAAATAGAGAATTCTGACCTAAAGGGCCTTATTAAAGGCCCAAATATGAATTATTAATAATACTAAAAATAACAATAATGAAATTAACTATTTACAACAACTATTATATTGAGCGTTCAGTACTTTTATGTATCTGTTCTTCATATCTTTATTATTTTTGACAATTCATTACCTTACAGAGAAATTGAAGCATACAAATGATTTGCTGCAAAAGAAGAATGGTGATGGCTTCTTCATAAAGGTACTCATGGAAACAGGTTAAGTTGATAAGTGTTGTTCTGTAATAGATCCTGACCATAATTAGTTTATTTGAGTTGCTTGAGGGAAATACTCTCAGCGTTTGTTATTTATAACCAAGAGAATACATTCAAATCATTAATCAAATCCTTTCACTATAGGAATGAAGAAGCTAACTATCCAAATAAGAGAAATTTTCTCAACAAAACATTAAATCTATACATACCTCTTAACAGAACCTTTCAATTTGATGAAAGAAAGCAACGAGAAGGGATTACAAAAGAAACAGATGAGTGGTTGCTGTATAATTTCATAACCAACTGAATTTACAATATGAAGTATTTATGTTAAGGAATTAATACCTAACTGCTTCAGTAACTATTTACTAACAGTGCTAAAAGAAAGTCAATATACTAACCAAAACAGAAGCTTCTAGGCTAATATCACGTACTCTAACACGGTTTGATTTAGAATACACTAATGTTGCCCGCTTTGGTTGTTATTTCTTGATATTCTTATATTTCTCTGTGTGGATTATAATTTGTATTGCTTGGTAAGTTATGCTTTTATCATATTGCTCCTAGATTTCTAGTGATTGGTCTTACCTGACGGTTTTTCAGGGCTGGTGGAAAGATATTCTTCATGGAAACATTTATAAAGAGCTTGATCAAAGTGGCAAAATGGTTTTGCTAATTGATATACTTACGATGAGTTCTGATGTGGGTGATAAGGTGCTGGTTTTTAGTCAGAGCATACCAACCTTAGACCTCATAGAACTTTATCTCTCAAGACTACCACGACGTGGCAAACGAGGGAAGTTGTGGAAGAAGGGAAAAGATTGGTATAGGTCGGTTCATATTTTTTAAATCAGTACAACCTTCTGTTACTCTTCTTAACTTTCTGTTTTGATTTTATTTCACTGATCATATTTATATTTGTACATTATATTTTGTTACTGGGAATGTATGCTTTTTTCCTTGAATACTTCCATCTGTGGGCATTGTTTAATGTATGCTTTTTTCCTTGAATACTTCCATCTGTGGGCATTGCTGGGAATGTATGTTTAATGTATGCTTATTTGTACATTATATTTTGATTAGTTTGATGATTAAACGTCTCTTTCCCGCTGCGAGTTTTGCTTTTTAGGTGTCTTAAATTATTCCGATTAATGTTTTATCATTTTAACACCCTTCTGTATTATTTTTCATATTGGCAGGCCCAAATTATTAATGTATGCAAATTTTCTCACTTTTTATTTTCTGGCACATAAGTTGTAGGATGCCTCAGAGTTGTGGAAAGATTTTGTTAATACCCCAAAATATGAAACTTTTCAATGTATAATGTGTAGCATATATGTTATTGTCATCCCTCTAGTTCTAAACTCATAAAATAAGTAATAGGACACGCCGATGCGTTTGGATTTTGCGATCCTTATTAAATATTATTTGTCTAATTAGGAGTTCTCTAATTTTATATGTTTTTAATGATTTCGTTTATTTCTTCTCAACTCTATTGATTAATATGAAAATGCACATCTGGTTCTCCAGGCTGGATGGAAGAACAGAGAGCTCAGAAAGACAGAAGCTTGTTGAGAGATTTAATGAGCCTTTGAATAGAAGGGTAAAATGCACACTAATTTCAACCAGAGCAGGCTCTCTGGGTATTAATCTTCATGCAGCTAACCGTGTTGTTATAGTTGATGGTTCTTGGAATCCAACATATGATCTGCAGGCTATATATCGAGCTTGGAGGTATGATCCTGCTAATTTTTTCCCTTAACTAAAATGAGTTTTCTTTTGTGGAAGCACCACATAGTAGGAATAAATTTTTGGAGAAATGTTGGTAAACTTATGATTTTCTATTGGATGCAATATTTGAAATTTCTATGAGTGAGCAATGTTTTTGTGAAAAGGTGTTTGACTTCTATTTGGTGCAAACGCTCATTGTCTTTTTGGAGGAGTTTCCCTTTCAAAATCATTAAAGGGACTGAATAGACTTGCTCAGTTAAATTTTTTGTTTTCATTTGTGTGTATTTCTTTTCTTTTTTTTACCACAATAGAATTCCACTTTTATCCTAAAAAAAAGAAAACAAGTAAATAAATAAATAAAAAGATTGTCAAGTAGAGTTCTTGTCTCATAGTTAATGCTAAGTGTCATAAGCCAACCCTTCTAAAAGTTTAAACTGTAAGAGAGATACATGAACACCATTTTTATTACACTTCTAGATAGCACAACCCTCATGCAAGATTTTTTTAGACCTGAAATGTGGACAATGCTTAATGCACAGATACACCTGCTATTTGTTTGAATTCTATTTTTATTTAGAAATTTGATGAGTGATAGCAATGTACTCTAGACCATTTTGTCTTAAGAGACTAAAATACTATTTCAAGAACCAACTCTCCTTAAAGCTAAAGCTATAAAGGGATGCACATTTATGGTTTTTATTAACACTAAGCCATTATGATATTATCTGAGAATTATGAACCTTCCACGTTGTATTATGTCACATATATTTTACAATTCTCGTAAACACATTTGCTCTTGGGTGCTTCCATGGTTTCTCTTGGTTTGAAGTTGTTTAATTGATTTCTCCCTGGAAAGATCTTTAGAAGTTCGAAGGATACACATTCTATAGTTGACGATTTACAAAGCATGATTTGTATCTATAGGCAAATAATGTTGAAATCTAAATAACTTTTCACGTTTGCAGGTATGGGCAGAAAAAGCCCGTGTTTGCTTATCGGTTGCTGGCTCATGGAACTATGGAAGAGAAAATATACAAGCGCCAGGTAATACAATATGATCGCTTCTATTCATCGAGTTTTAATTACTTAATTTTTGTAATGTATGGAATTGGTTTAAAATTTCAATAGGTTACAAAAGAGGGGCTTGCTGCTAGAGTGGTAGATAGACAGCAGGTGCATAGGACCATATCTAAAGAAGAAATGCTGCATCTCTTTGAGTTTGGTGATGACGAGAACCCTGAGACTTTGGCTGAACTAAGTAAATATGATGGACTTACTTGTGATCAAAATAATCCGATTTTGGCTGGGGATTCACTGAAACATACCGTACCACATTCAAATGGAAACGGTTATTCTGATAAGTTAATGGAAAGCTTACTGGGCAAGCATCATCCCCGGTATATTATCATTTCCAGCTGTTATTTGATTCAAGTCTTCTTTCCTGATGATGATGTCTTCTTCAGTTTACTTTTTATGGTATCATGCATGTTATCCCCATTTTTTCGCCCCTCTAAATTGAAAACTTACAACTTCAACATGGTATAAGAGTCTAGACCATTCACATTTGGTCATGCGATTTGCGAACTGGTCGATCTAGATCTAGTAGCTAGATTTCTGCTGTGCTAGTAGCAGTTGTATACATCAATAAAGGATTTCTGCTGTGCTATTTAGTGTCTCTCAATATCAGCTGATGTAGTTTCTCTTAACAGCTGGATTGCCAATTATCATTTACATGAATCCCTGTTGCAAGAAAATGAAGCGGAAAAACTGTCGAAAGAAGAGCAAGACATGGCGTGGGAGGTGTATCGCAAATCGCTAGAGTGGGAAGAAGTTCAGAGAGTACCGCTTGGTGAGTCTGTGCCTGATCAAAAGGAAGAAGTGTCAAAGGAAGAAGAACCAAATGAATCAGAAGATTTCTGCATTTCAACTAAGCTGAGAAATCGTTTCACAACACGGCAATGCACCAATCTTGCGCACTTGCTGACACTTAGAAGTCAGGGAATAAGATTTGGGAGCAGCACAGTCTGTGGTGAATGTGCCCGGGAGATAAGGTGGGATAACTTAAAGAAGAAATAGGATAGTAGTAACATGAAGGATGACATAATCTGAATGTTCATATAATACTATTTTTGTGCTGTAAATGAATTAGGCCAATGTCTATATTCTTTTGTTGATGAAATAGAAATGTTTGTCTTGTGTTTGGGGCTAGTGATGTTTTTTTCCCGAGTTATGAGGAAATTTTGATCGATGATATGTTGCAGGACCACGACAAGTTTCAATCAACTGAATTTTGGTCACCTACATTAATTAATGATCAAATTTGTATCAGATTTGTTTGTGTGTATTACCAACTTGGTATTGAATATTTCCATTTACCGGTTCATAAATTTTATCTTTTATTTTTTTTATTGTAATTGAGATCGGGAATTTAAGACTATATATGAGTGACACTGAAAATTACAAATAGTAAAGAGGTGTTCGTGAGATGGTTGGTCAAATAATCATATTACAAGGATATTAATAAATTTATTTAAGTCTTGGTTGAATTTAAAAATGTTCATGAGAAAGTGTTCATGTATTGTTCTGTTACGTGGTCCTAATGCCCCCCTTTTTCATTGTTTAATGAGATGCTTTTCATGTTTTTATTTTAAGATCTTTAATGGTTTGGTTTTTGTTTTTATTGAATTATGAGAGACTAAGAGGAATTATGAATAAACCGTGTGGTGAATAACACAGAAAAATAATATATAGAGAAAATTAAGATCAATAGTATTAGTTACATATTAAATATATATCGATTTTATTTCTATCCTAGAATATACTAAGAAATATTTTAGGAATGTTTTAGAGAATATTCTTATTTTATATATAAATATTAACACACTCTCATGCTTAGCATATAAATTAAATGTATCAAACTTTGTACCAAACTTGTTACATATATAGTTGGTTACGGGGCTTTATAGGGATTTTATAAATACATTGATCAATTGGTCATTAGAGTTGACAAAGTTTATGGCGATGTCGTCTGATTCGATCTTCTCTCTGCTAAAGTGATAGTCTATCTCAGTATGTTTGGTTATCTCGTGGATAACTGGATTTGAAATAATATGCAATCCAACTTGATTATCACAAATAAGTGTCATTGGTTTTGCATTTTCAATTTGAAGTTTCTTGAGCAACTGTTTTAATCAAATAAGTTCACAAGTTGTCATTTTCATGGTCCTATATTCCGCCTCGGCGCTTGATCTGGCAACAACATTTTGTTTCTTACTTTTCCAGGAAATTAGGTTACCTCCAACAAGGACACAATATTCCTAGGTGGATCTTTTATCAATGGATGATTCTGCCCAATCAGCATCGGAGTATCCAACTATATGAGTATGTCCTTTGTTTTCATACACAAGACCTTTTTCTGGAGCACATTTGATGTATCTCAGCATTCGGATATCAGTCTGACAAGGAGAATTTAAGAATTGACATATCACATTAACTGCAAAAAAAAAAAAGCTAGGAAGGGTGACTGTGAGATAATTCAACTTTCTAACTAATTTTCTGTATTTTCCTTGGTTAGATAAAGGCTCTCCCTGATTGGGTAGTAGTTTGACACTTGGATCTATAGGAGTATCAACTTATTTTGTATTTAACAATCATGTTTCTTCCAAAATATTTATAGTATTTTTTCGTTGGGAAATCACCATGCCATCTTTGGATTAGGCCACATCAATTCCCAAAAAATATCAAAGTTTATCAAAGTATTTTGTCTGAAATTGATTCAAGAGATGTTGTTTTAACTGGAGTACTCCTTGTTGATCACTACCAATTATGATAATATCATCTACATACACAATAAGATAGATACACCATTTAATTGAGTGACGATAAAATACAGAATGGTCAGCTTCACTACAAAGCATATCAAACTATTGTACTACAGTGTTGAATCTGCCAAACTAAATTCTCGAAGATTTCTTAAGACAGTAAAGAGACTTGTGTAGCCTACAGACCATATTCGAGGACTCCTTTTGAGAAACAAATCCAGGTGGTTGCTCCATATATACTTCCTCTTCAAGGTAACCAAGTAAAAAAACATTTTTGATGTCAATTTGATAAAGATTCAATGTCGAATGATTGCAATGGCTAGAAAGAGTCTAACAGGTACCATCTTGGTTACAGGCGAGAAAGTGTTACTATAATCCAACCCAAAAATGTGAGTGTATCCTTTGGCTACCAATCGAGTTTTAAAACGATCAATCATACCATCTGGTCTAACCTTTACTGTATAAAGCCAACAACAACCTACTAAAGATTTCTCAGGGGGTAGAGGAACCAGTTTCCAGGTACCACTACTTTGAAGAACACATATTTCATCAATCATTGCCTGCCTCCTCTCAGGGTGAAATAATGCTTCACCTGGAGATTTAGGAATAGAAACAGAAGACAAAGAGGACAAACAAATATACTGCAAAGGGGAAAGGCGATGATAACATAAATCAATATAATGTAGAGAAGGATTTCGTATTTGACATATACCTTTGCGAAGGGAAATCGAAAGACAAGACTCAGGTTGTAGGATCAAATCTGAAGATGGCAGAGGCGTAGGAGGATAATCTGCAATGACCTCAGGGACATGTACTGCCTCAGGTATAAGTAAGACAAATATGGGTTGTCGATGCTGATATGTTTGAAGTGTCTGAGAAGTGGGGGGGGGGGGGGGGGGGGGGGGTGTCAATCGTATGGGTTTCTAGTGGGATATGTTTCCTAGAATGATAGGGAATAATGGGAAATCGGACTTCTGGAAGAGCTATAAGAGTACTTTCCTGAAGGGGTTCCAGAGTGACTTAGGTGAACTCAAAATATGGCATTGACTCGAAGAAGGTAACATCGGTCGAGACCAAGTATCATTGCAGAGTGTGTGAGTAGAAACGATAACCCTTTTGGGATCGATGATAACCAAGAAAAACACATTTTAGTAATCAAGCTGATAGTTTATCAAGACCAGGGGTGAGATTATGCACAAAACACGTAGACCCGAAGACTTGAGGAGGAATTGGGTGAAGAGGAGAGTTTGGAAATAGAATTGAATGAGGGATTTTATTATTAAGGACAGATAAGGGCCTGCAATTTATGAGGTAACATGCTGTAAGCACAACATCCCCCCAAAGTTGAAGAGGGACATTACCATGGAAAAGTAGGGTCCGAGTGGTTTTACGAGATATCGATTTTTGCGTTCGGCTACTCCATTTTGTTGAGGTGTATGAGAGCAATATGTTTGGTGAAGAATACCATTGGATGACATAAAAGTTTGAAATTGTTGGGATAAATATTTATATGCATTGTCACTTCATAAGGTAAGAATAGACAAACCAAATTGGATTCTTATTTCTCGATAAAATTGTTCAAAAATAGAAAACAATTTAGATATATTCTTCATTAAAAATAGCCACGTGCAACGTGAGTGTTACAAAATACCTAGACTCAAAATTAGACACGGTACACGATGGACCCCAAACATTGGATTGAACTAAAGTAAAAGGGGACTCAGCCCGTTTATTGACTCAATCGAGAAAGTAACTACGAGTATGTTTCCCTAACTGACAAGACTCACAATATAAAGTGGATAATTTAGATAAATTGGGCACCAACTTTTCTAGATTGGGAAGACCTGGATGACCTAACTGCACATGTATAATGAATGGAGAATCTGTGGTGGAGCATGTTGTAGATGACGTAGAGAAGTAGTGGAGGCCTTGAGACTCACATCTTACGTCAATCGTCTGTCCCAAACTCCGATCCTGCAGGGTAACATTATTGTTAGTAAAAGTGATATAACAATTAAGGGAACAAGTTAAATGACTGACTGACAGTAGATTAAATGTGAAATTAGGTACATATAGCACAAGTGATAAAGAGAGATGGTAGAATTTGAACAGTACCAATCCCTTGGGATTGGGTTTGAAAACCATTTGTGGCAGTTATACTTGGTAAGAAACCAGAGGTAGAAAGAGAAGAGAAAATATTTTTATTACCGGTAACATGATCAGACTCACTAGAATTGAGAACCCAAGGACCAATAGGAGATGCTTAAGAGACACAAACATTTGAATTACCAGTGTGTACAATCGAAGGCGTGAAACCAGAGGTCTGGTTAGTCTGACACACCTGAGAAAATCCTCGTAGCTTGGCGCAAGGTTATGAAGAAAAGGTGAAGTATGCATAATGTATGGGTTATCAATTTGAGCTGCATTTACTTGTCGGGGAGGTATGCCATGCAACTTCCAACAATGGTCGATAGTATGCCCAAGTTGGTTACAATGGTCACAGTTAGGACGAGGTTTGGAGTTGGATGACCCTCCTCGAAGGCGATTCTGATTGTTGCCAAGAGATGCAAGAGCAACATTGTCATATGGAGTTTGAGCAACAATAAATGGAGGGGAAACCGAGCCACTCATGAGGTGTAACCAAGCACAACAATTATTCACTAATTGTATTATAGTTAGGAACAATAGTACTTGATAAAATTTGGTTACAAATGGATTTAAGTTCTGATGGTAGTCCTTTAAGTGTCATGACCATGAAATATTTACTCTGTTGTTCGGCATGAGCTATTGCATCTTTTGTGCCAGGCATGAGTGTTGCGTAACTTGCTTTCAAAGCATCAAGCTTACTCAGATAAGCTTGCGCATCCATATTTTCCAACTTCAATGCGTCGAGTTTCTGGATGGCACGATATAGAGAATGAACGTCATTAGAAAAGACTTTTTTGGCCTTTTCCCACACCTCATAACAAGTAGAGAAGGCTTGGTACTACACTTGGAGGTTAGATTTTATGGAAAACTACAACACAATACACATAGAGATATTATACCCAAATTTCCCCCCCTAAGATTCCTCTATCATCTCATATCAATTCAACCAAGTCAAGATCACAATTGGGTTAGGTTCTTCTATCTATCTTTAGGTTTGCTCATGAGGGATCACCAAGCTGTAAGTACGAAGTGCACCTAAGAGGGGGGGGGGGGGGGGTGAGTTAGGCACTTTAAATTTTTTCTGGTTTTTAGTGGTGATGGATAATA